ACTCTACGTCATCCGGCAATATATCAATCCAGACAGTAACGCTTGAACGAAGCTCTTTACCCTCTAAATACGGAGCGCCAACTCGATTATGAACACATTTTCATTGTGTGTGTAAAAAAAAAAGAACTTCTGCAGACTCTAAACTACTTGGCTGTCCACAAGTGGTGCTCTCACTCCTTTATGCATTCCAAGGAAGAGGGAGGAAGTTACAAACCGATCATACCACACACATCACGAGCCTCGCTATGAAACCTAATGGAACAATAAGTATGCTGTTTTGTGCCCTTGGCGTTATTAGTGCCTGTAAAGGAAGTTGTCTTCTCCAGCTGCTGTGGCTGAAATAAGTTCATTTAGTTTTAGAAACTTTCACTGAACAGTCAGCTACAATGTCACAACTAAGCACTTTAATACTTTAAATGCAAATAATAGAAATTTTCTATTACACTCCCTTTTCCCGTCACTCGTGAACAAGACCCCAAGATACTTAAACTCCTCCACTTGGAGCAGGAACTCGTCCCTGACCCAGAGTGGGCACTCCACGCTTTTCTGGCTGAGGACCATGGCCTCAGACATGTAGGTGCTGATTCTCATTCCCACCTCTTCACACTCTGTGAACTGTCCCAGTGCGAGCTGGAGGCCATCGCCTGTTGAAGCCAACAGATCCACATCATCTGCAAAAAGCAGAGATGAGATTCTGAGACCACCCAAGTGAAAGCCTTCCGCCACTTGGCTGTGCCTAGAAATTCAGTCCATAAAAACAGGATCGGTGACAAAGGGAAGCCCTGGCAGACTCCCTTACCCACCGGAAACGAGTCTGACTTATTGAACTGCAAAATCTCCAGTGGTCAATTGGAAAATAAATAAAAATGCTAGTAATTTTTCAGTGTTAGAAAATCAACACTGCTAATGTTAGTCACTGTTAATCTTTAACACTGACTAAGTTACTGTTAAAATATAACACTGTCAGTGTTAATTTAACACTGTCAGTGTTAATTTAACACTCAAAAGAGTGGACACATAAAAACACTTTTCTAGTGTCAATTTAACACTGGAGATTTTGCAGTGGGGTAGTGTATTTGCATTTGTCACCTTTCGCTTTCAGCCACACCATGACACTGCCACATCGCTGCTGAGTACTGATGATTGCAGTTCTGCAAAAAGGAGAACTGACTGAGGGAATGTTTTTGGCCAGCATATAGCCTTTTCCTATAGATCTAGGGTAGTCTACAGTGTGGTGCGATACATACATGTTAAAAAGGTTTATCCACCCGCTACATGAAGGTGTGTAGACTTCTTGAAACAGTTCAGATCTCACAGGAAAAATGAAACACCAGGGAGTGCCGAGCTCCAGCTCTCCGCTTCTTCACTACAGACCTTTGGACCAGCTGGTTACTCATTGAATTGACATTTCAACAGCATGTAACACAAAAAATAAAAGTGCCATCAAAACAACAACAGTTGCCTGTAATATTTGAAAACCTCACATATTTCTCTCATAAGAAATGCTGACTGATATCAATATTCCTCCACCAGATCACCCTTCCTCAACTCACCCTTCCTCAATTCTGACAATTCATTTCAAGAGCTCAATACTACCAACACCTGGATAACTGAGAATCTACACAGACACTTAAAGTATAGTTACACATTTATCTGCTTCAGTTCTTTAGATTTTTCTCTATGAGCTCCAGTCAACCACCTGGCCTTATCTGGTTTGTTAAATAAACAACTTTATTATTAAGATTGCAGATTAATTGTGTTCCATGTTGTAGATTCTGTTTACATACCCTTGTGTTTAACTATAAATTTGTGAGAGGGGATTTTCTTGCATTGTTTTACTTTATCTTGTTCATTGATTTTCAGACACTCGAAGATGGCTGAGAATATTGCTCAATGACAAGCTAACACATTTCATCCTGGACTACTTTCAGCTGCCTTAAATACTTCAAAATCATTTTTGTTGTTAAAGAAGTCTGAAATGTGGCAACTGAGTGAAAATATTGTTTGTACATAGACCAGCAGGAGAGAGAAACAGCAAAATTTAGGTCTGGGACTGTTTTTTTCCATAATTCTGAACACAGCTAAGAGATTTGCAAAAACTATTGAAGACCAAAGAAGACTAAATGCTGACTTTCATGAATGTTACTCAACCAGTGAACCTCCAGTGAACAACTGTGGGGGCGGGTAAAAAAGTCACACTTCCTCTTTGGAACACTGCCAAACAAATTGTGTTGACTCTTAATGCTAAGCTCCACCTTTTTATGTTTCAGTGCATTACATTCTTTTGCTTTGTTTGCACACTTCTGTCCTGACTTGACTGGAATACAGCAGTTATAACTGTAGTCAGCTGTAGAGGAACTCGTCTCTGACACAGACGTACATCAGTCACAAGTGGTTCGTCTATAGCGGACACTGAGACAGGTAAGCAGCTACAGCACAGATAGACACATAGATGAGTGTAAATACACTTTTCAGTAACATGCTGATGGAAAAAAACCTGAGAATCATTCATTTGAGGAAGAATTGGAAGGTGAAATAAAAACTCAAAGAAAATGGGCAGAGTAGATACTGTGATTCTATGAAAGTGACAGAAGATATTATGATAGAAAACATTTTAAAACTGAAAAACATCTGTGTCTTTTTCTGCTTGTGTTCAGTCAAGATGAAGTTGCTGCTTGTTGTTGCTGCTGTTCTGGCTGTATCCAGCTGTGCCAGCATCTCTCTGGAAGATCTGGAGTTTCATGCCTGGAAACTCAAGTTTGGTGAGACAGCAGACTCTTTTAGTCTTTTTATTGCTGTTGATCCTTGGGAAGACTTGGAAAGAAATGTGAGCTCACCCTAATATGTTAAAATTGTGTAAAAAGGGAAATTTCGTAGCAGATTATTTCTTACATTCATTACCAATGTATTTTCTTTTGTTCTGTTTTCACTATTTCCTTTTCCAACTGGTAGATAAGTCATATGACTCTGAATCAGATGAGGCTCAAAGGAAGCAGATCTGGCTCAACAACCGCAAACATGTGCTAGTGCACAACATCTTGACAGACCAGGGTTTGAAGTCCTACCGCCTTGGGATGACCCAATTTGCTGATATGGTATGTGCAAAAAAAGACGTGTCGTTCAGATTTTACTCCTCACCATTTACAATTTCACAAAGACCTTTTTTTGTAATGCATATATGCATGTAAGAATGCATAGAAACTTTTAAATAAAAACCCCATGAACTCTGTTCCTCTTCTCAGGAAAATGAAGAGTACAAACGGCTGGTTTCTCAGGGCTGCCTTCACTCTTTCAATTCTTCTCTACCTCGCCGCGGCTCTACCTTCTTCCGACTACGTGAAGGTACTGATCTACCCGACACTGTTGACTGGAGAGATAAGGGATATGTCACCGATGTCGAGAATCAAATGCAATGTGGCTCCTGCTGGGCCTTCAGTGCAGTAAGTAGAAATAACTTTCTGTTCTTTATTTTTGTAACATGGCAAACTTTGCTCGGCTGTGGTCTGGTTTCAAACTCACTCTTTTTGTTTTTTCAGACTGGCTCACTGGAGGGTCAGCACTTCAGGAAAACAGGAAAGCTGGTGTCTCTGAGTAAGCAGCAGTTGGTCGACTGCTCTGGAGAGTTTGGCAACCATGGCTGCAATGGAGGCCTGATGGATTCTGCTTTCCAGTACATCCAAGCAGCTGGAGGGATTGACACTGAGGAGTCCTACCCTTATGAGGCCGAGGTAAATAGACTGCAATATGTCAAAAACATGTCACACCTGATTCCTTTTAAATCATGATCTTTGAATTTATACAAGCCTCAGCACTTTGCCATCTCACTATCATCAGCTTAAATTCAAATTCAAATTCAAATTTTATTTGTCACGTACACAGTCATACACAGTACGATATGTAGTGAAATGCTTGGACAACTGCTCGTGACCTAAAGAAAACAAAAAAGGAAAAGGCTATGAATAAGATAGGAAATAAATATGAAAAATTAAAAAGGGTAAATTTAACTAAGAAGGTATAAAATATAAATTATGGTTAAAAATGAAATAACTGTACAACACAAATTAGAATGAAGGGTAAATTTAACTGGGAAGGAATAAGATAAAATATATAAATTAAAGTTGAAAATAAAATAACTGTACAACAAAATACACAATATAGAACTATATAAGAATGTATGAAGAAACCTAAATATAAATAAATATATACACAATAACAGCAGCTGTACAAGTATTAACCGGAAATGAAGAATATAGTGACCAGTGTTGTGCAAAAAAACAATGTGTGCAAAAACAATGTCCAGAAAGTCCAGTATGTGTGGGTCAGTAGTGTGTGGTGGTGTGATTGAGAGACCGTATCGCCTGCGGGAAGAAGCTCCTCCTCAGTCTCTCTGTGTTGGTCTTCAGGGAGCGGAATCGCTTTCCTGACCTCAGCAGAGAGAACAGTCTGTTGTTGGGATGGCTGAGGTCCTTCACGATCTTATAGCTTAATAGCTTTAGTGAAAATTACTGATGATATTCTAATACATTCAGATAAATGTCCTGCTCAACAGCTTTTGATACTGTTGAACATGCTACCCTTATTAGCAGCCTCCACAAATGCGTTGTCATCTCTGGTACTGCTCTCAAATGGTTTTCATCATACTTATCAAACAGATAATTCAGAATTCATATAAATCAATGCATGTCCTCATCTGCACCTGCCCCAGTGCTTCTTTATATATGTTACCCCTGGGCCAGCTAAACAATGGTTTTAAAGGAATCTTCATTCACTTCTATGCAGATGACACATATTTTTCTGTCAAGCCCAACAACCTCAGTAGCCCCTCCTCCCACAATGGATTTTTCTGTGCCCTAACTAATTAGGATATTCAAATATCCTAATATCTCAGTCCTGAAACTGAGGTTCTAGTGCTCAGCCCACTAAGGACGATAGTCAGTACATTAGCCCCCTTGCCAAACATTTCAAATCATCTGCTAAAACCCTCGGTGTCACTTTTGATCATCACTTGAATTTCAAAACCCATATCTAAAAGGTTACCCAGTTTTGTTTCCTTCATCTGAAAAATATTGTGAAACTCCAACCTTTACTGCCAGTCAATCATTTTGAACTTTTAGTATGCACTCTAATTTACAACTTTAACACTTTTCACATGCATTTCTCAGTCCTCCTTAACTAGTCTCCAATTAGTTTAGAACACAGCTGCAAGGCTGCCAACTAAAACTAGCTGTCAGTGACATATTACACCTATCCTTGCATCCCTTCACTGGCTTCAAGTAAAATTCAAAATCCACTTTAAAATTCTGTTATTAACATAAAAGGCTCTACGTGGACAGGCTCCTGTGTATTTAGCTGAGCTTCTAGCACCTTATCAATGCATCCAGCCTCTCAGATCATCTAACCAGGGCCTTCTAATTTTCCTTCTGAAAACTAATTTCTATTGGTTAGTGTTTCCTTAATCCATTCCCCTTCAATTTTGGCCATAGTTTGAAACGATACAAGTATGTATATGTGTATGTGGGAATGAAGATCTGTGGTATGACTGACCATGTGACTGTTTATGTGTCTGTATGTTTTAACACGCACACTTGTCTTCAACGTGCACCTTTTATTTGAACTGTGAAGCCCTTTGTAAATCTGTGTTTTGAAAACTGAATAAATAAATAAAGTTATTATTATTATTTCAATAAGGAGAGATTATTAGACGGAACTGAACATCATTTATTGATATACAGAATTCAGTTATTTGGCTGTTAGACTCTGATGGCCCATCAAAGCAGACCAGAATCCCAGAGGTGATAGGGATTAGAACAGGACATCCCTTGGAATCTAGACAAGATGGAGGCTTGAATGAAGCCAGTGATGAGTGAGAGGTGGTCATGTGGAGAAGGTGTGGTGCATGATGGCATCTGCAAAATAAAATGACAGATGCCAGTGAGATTTACAGTATGCGGAGTGAAGAAGGCTGGTAGAAATATGATTGGACCAGACCAGTCATGTCACATTAAGCTTGACAGCAGTAGTGACAGTGGAAGTGATGCAAAGCTTAGATTAGATGCCTACACCTGGGAAGTAGACAGATGTGTGACTACAGATCTTCCTTATAGAACATATGCATAAGCTTCATTATTATTATTGATAAATATATGAATCAGGGGTGCAAATCGGCTTGTTTAGACAGTGTTATTAAGCATGAAAGTGTTTGAAGCAGTTTACAGTACTTCCAAAACATACTGTAGGTTCAAAGTCGCATAAACCCGACAGTATTGGCTGCTTTACTGACTTCTTTATATATCCATTTTCAACATCACAGTATTTTTTATATACTGTGTTTGCTAATATGTTGCAATCAATGCAAGAAATTTTAACATATTTCCTCTGTATTAGGATGGAGATTGCCGTTACAATCCTAAATCTACTGGTGCTACATGCACTGGCTATGTTGATGTGCAACCAGCTAATGAAGAAACCCTGAAAGAAGCTGTGGCTACCATCGGACCAATATCAGTGGCCATTGATGCTTCTCGTCTGTCTTTTCAGTTCTATGAATCAGGTACAGACATTGAAACACAATTGAAAGTATCAAGAAAATTATCTTCAAATTAAAAAATAAATGGGAATAGTTTTGTTCTTTACACCTGTCAGTCTAATTGGCATGTGTTTGCAGGAGTTTATGATGAGCCCGACTGCAGCAGCACAATGTTGGACCATGCTGTGCTGGCTGTGGGTTATGGTACTGAAAATGGACATGACTACTGGCTGGTCAAGAACAGGTAAATACCTACTTATATTTAAATTTATATTTGATACACAGATATATAAAGACATCTTTTTTATGGCTTAACAATTGGATCATCATGTCTCTACATGTTATTGAACTATTAGTGTGAACACAGCCCATTTTTAGCTGTTAAATGTTTTTAATTTCTTTCTTCCTGTAGTGCTGGTGTTGGATGGGGGGAGAAAGGATACATTAAGATGAGCAGGAACAAATCCAACCAGTGTGGGATTGCTAGTGCAGCAAGCTACCCTCTGGTCTGAAGAGGTCGGAAGAAACTCATCCTCATTTTTACTTTATTTTATTTTTATTTTTTTGCCAAGTTACGTAACTAAATGTCATTTTGTTTACGGTGTCAACAGGCTCTCTTTTTGTTGCATTAGTGTTTAATTAAATAACATCATAAAGACTGCAAATACATGAAACATAAATAAATAAATAAACAAATTGTTTCACATTGACATTTAATAAAAGTAATTGTGTTTATTTCACTGTGTTGGTAGTGTATGGCTTAATAACCAAGAAGTGTTTTTTAGCATTTAAACTTTGGTCTGTTGATCAGTCCACTATGCTCAGCGGGATTTCTATTTTTTTTTTATACTTCTGTGTTCCCCAAAGAAAAAAGTTGACTGGTGATCCGTCCCTGGCTTTTCCTGTACAGCCACCATGAGAAATATAATGTATTTGTTTTATTTTGTATTTGTGCCCTGTAAAAAAGCAGTAGCTTGCAAAAAGGCTGAGTAATGCACCTTCATCCATTCCTTTTTGTAACAAAAGTTAGAACAAGTCAGAGATCAATCCTGATAGGATTTGCAATCATGGTTTTTAGTTAGACTGTTGTGAGAGGAATGACGGACCCGACCACATACTTGCACTTTCCAGCACGCTTCTTTATTCAGTTGTCGTTTCTTCAACTCATATCTTTTTCACAGCTTTTCAGCTGCGTCCTACACACAACAACAACCTCAGGTCCCGACATGTTTAATATAGGGGAGGAGTGATGAGCTGATTGACCTCAGGTATGTCAGCCTCCCCCGCAGCCACGACACGGACCATGCCCCGCCACAACTGCCAATGCTGTTTTCACCATTAGGCAGAAGTACGGATACTTCTGTTAAAAAATACTGGTAAAAGCTGAAGTACTGATTTAACTTCTTTACTCAATTAAAATTTATAAAGTACAGGTTCTGAAACTTACTCAAAATAAGAAAGCAAAAAGTATATCTTTTGAGTATTTTTTTATGTAATAAAAGAGAATTGTGCTGCTGCAGTTGGTTCAATTGATGCAGTAAAATGATATTAGTGCAAGGAAATATAAATGTTATTTCATTCCATATTTTGATTCTAATGAATGTACTCAGGTTATATCAATTATGTAGAATACAAACACAGAAAAAGAGGGGGAATTAAAAACAAAAAACAGCTCTATCTGTTGCCTACATTACAGAGGCTAACTTTGCAAACATAAACAAGAAAATTTGTACAGTTAGGGGTTAATGTGAGGTTGTAGAGAGATGGAAAGTGATCAGAACTGAGGAGATCCACTGCCAGAAGGCAAAAATCCAGACACTGAGAATAGCTAGAAGTACCTGGAAATGCTACAGTGAACGGGAACCACAAAGAAGTTGCTATTATTAGTCAGTCAAATGAATGGGTAGAACAAGATCTGGGCGATCAAAACCTACGCCCTGCCAGTTGTCAGATACCCTCTACAGTAATCACCTGGCCAAAGGAGGAGATAGAAGCCACAGATGTGAGGACAAGGAAGCTCCTAAGCAGAAGGAAGGTGGCTGAGGATTGGTGAGTGTCAGATACACTGTCCAGGATGAAACAACAAAGATCCATGAGATGTACACTGACTGTGTGCTTAGTAAACACCTCAGGCATCAGAAACCTGAGAAAGAAGAAGACTAAGAACAGATTCTCTACACAGATGAAGCAAACTCTATGTCAGAGTAATGTCACATACACGTAATTTGTTGGACAGACGCACAATTCATCTGGTTTTGTCCATCCATATCATTTTAAAGCAAACACTCAAAATGTGACTGAAGTGCAGACTTTTACCTTTAATTCAATGAGTTTAAGAAACATTTGATATTTGACAAGTCATTGACAAAGAGTTATGTTGCCAGATGACGTAGGTCATTTGATATGTGCAGAAAAATCCCCGATCATAATCTTTGACTCTACAGGTCTTCATAACAAATGACTATTGTTATCTTGCCTAATAGCAGTTGGAGATGAAAATCAAATCATTCAGCTAGTGTTCCTGTATACCGACAGTTGCCTAACAGAAAGAAATCAGCAGAAGTAACCTCTGGGACTGATGTCAGACTGCCTGAACCGGTTTGTGGTGATGGGAAATAATCACGAGTCATACACCTGAGGAAGGAATTTCTGCTCACAAAAACAAATCTAAGGTCAAAGTCAGGTTGCGACTTGTTAATTAAACAACTTGATTTACAACTGTGCTTCATGTAGTAGATTCAGTATCTGTCCACTTGCTTGTTTGAGTTGCTTTATTTTATTTGTAGTTTTTCAGACAAATCACTTAAAAATATTTCTCAAAGACAAGCTGAGTTTTTATACCTATTATGTATAAGAACTCAGTGTCTTTATATATACCACAAGACATAATACAGTTGGCTTAAACAATTCAAAATAAACATTTTATGTTGTTCAAAAAGTTTGAAATGTGGACACATACTTACTGCTTCTGTGGCTTTTAGCAAAGTAACAGGATGGTTTTTGTAAGTAGGCCTGCAGGAGAGGGAAACACAGTACGACATATTTAAGTTTGAGTGTTTTTTCAGTGATCCCAAACACACCTCAGAAATTTGCAAAAGCTACTTGAGAGAAAAAACCCCAAAGAATTCTGACTGTCATGAAGGTTTATCCACATGACTGTGTAACTTCCAGTTAACACTGTGGGGGAAAGCCAAACACTCTGTGACTTCCTCTTTGGAAAATTATTTTCACTCTCAATGTTTAGCTCCACCCTTTTGTGCTTCAGTGCTTGACACTTTTTCTTTCCGTGCTGTCCTGACCTGACTGGAGTACTGCAGTCATATTATAGTCGGCTAAATAAACAAGCTCCCTCTGGCACAGTCGTTTATCAGCCACAGGTGGTTATCAGTCAGACTGAGTCAGGCGGTACAGGTAAGTAGCTACAGTAGCGTTAACTAGACATGTAGACAATTATGAATGCACTTTTCAGCAGTGTGTTAATGAAAAAAAGCAGAGAATCATTAATTTTGGAAAGAACTGGTGGGAAATGTGAAACAAATAGTCGAAGAAAAAATCAAAGTGAATAGTGTGACGCTATGAAAGTGACATTACGAAAGAGTGCGTTTTAAAGCTGTCATTAAAAAAAACCCCCGAAACTGCATGTGTGGTTTCCTGTAAGTAACAAAGGATTTCTGTCTTTTTCTGCTTGTGTTCAGTCAAGATGAAGTTGCTGCTTGTTGTTGCTGCTGTTCTGGCTGTATCCAGCTGTGCCAGCATCTCTCTGGAAGATCTGGAGTTTCATGCCTGGAAACTCAAGTTTGGTGAGACAGCAGACTCTTTTAGTCTTTTTATTGCTGTTGATCCCTTTCTGTGCTTTTTAAATACTGTACAAGCCTCTCCTCTTTGATGTAAACCGTTTGTTTTTTAATTGTGTTCTGCTGACATTAAGATACTGTACAAGCCTCAAACTTGGAAAACTGTGGAAACAAAGGGAAATATGCATTTTCCCTAAAATTCATTAATGGATTTTCTATTATTCTGTTTCTCATAATTTCCTTTTCCAATATGCAGAAAAGTCATATGACTCTGAGTCAGAGGAGGCTCACCGGAAACAAATCTGGCTCAACAACCGCAAACATGTTCTAGTGCACAACATTTTGGCAGACCAGGGTTTGAAGTCCTACCGACTTGGGATGACCCACTTTGCTGACATGGTATATGCAGAAAAACATGTGTCATGAATACTTTTAGTTGTAATTGTAAGGTTAAAAAAACAGAAACAAAAAACAAACTTTTGAACTAAAAACTGATAAATTTGGTCCCTCTTGACCAGGAAAATGAAGAGTACAGACGACTGGTTTCCCGGGGCTGCTTTGGCTCCTTCAATACTTCTCTGCATCACCGCGGCTCTACCTTCCTTCGGCTACCTGAAGGTACTGATCTACCTGACACTGTTGACTGGAGGGATAAGGGATATGTCACTGATGTCCAGAATCAGATGCAGTGTGGCTCCTGCTGGGCCTTCAGTGCAGTGAGTACATAAGTCCCAGTGTTCTTTAATCCTGTAAAATCGGAAGTTTGTTCAACTATTGTCTGGGTTCAAATAGACTCATCCTTATTGCAGATTGGTGCCCTGGAGGGTCAGAACTTCAGGAAGACAGGAAAGCTGGTGTCTCTGAGTAAGCAGCAGTTGGTCGACTGCTCTCAGAGCTTTGGCAACCATGGCTGCAATGGAGGCTGGATGGACTGTGCCTTCAAGTACATCCAAGCAGCTGGAGGAATTGACACTGAGGAGTCCTACCCTTATGAGGCTGAGGTAAGCATTATGAAAAAATAATTACCATTACCTGACAATCATAATACTAATATAAGAAGTAGAAGTGTAAATCAGCTCATTCAGACAGTGTTATTAATCATGAAAGTGTATGAAGTTGTGTACTTCCAAAACACATATTAGCTCCAAGCCACATGAAGCCCACAGCATTTTCTACTTTACTGACTTCTTTCAAAACACATCTTTAAGATCACGGTGTTTTCTAAATGCTCTTTTTGTGAATATAATTATGACTAACACAATAAATTATAGCATCTTTTTTTTCTGTATTAGGAAGGAAATTGCCATTACAACCCTGAAACTGTTGGTGCCACGTGTACCGGCTATGTTGATGTAAGTCCGAATGAAGATGCTTTGAAGGAGGCTGTGGCCACTATTGGACCGATATCTATTGCCGTGGATGCTTCTCACGAGTCGTTTCAGTTCTACCAATCAGGTGCACACACTGAAAAAAATGTCATGAAACCTTTAAATTGAAAACGATCAAATGTGAAGTGCTTCATTTGTCTAACTGACATATATTTCTAGGAGTGTATGACGAGCCTTCATGTATAACCTCATGGTTCAGCCATGCTATGCTGGCTGTGGGTTATGGTACAGAAAATGGACATGACTACTGGCTGGTCAAGAACAGGTAAATACCCACATGTGATGCTCATATTTGAATTCATGCAGTTCACTTTTTCTAAGAGTGAGTGCTGA